CATAAGAACGATCACTTGAATAGATAATCTAGAACTGGGAGTTACCTTCCCTTACGTGTTATAAGAACAATCACTTGAATAGATAATCTAGAACTGGGAGTTACCTTCCCTTACATGTTATAAGAACAATCACTTGAATAGATAATCTAGAACTTGGAGTTACCTTCCCTTACGTATTATAAGAACGATCACTTGAATAGATAATCTAGAACTGGGAGTTACCTTCCCTTACGTGTTATAAGAACGATCATTGAATAGATAATCTAGAACTGGGAGTTACCTTCCCTTACGTATTATAAGAACGATCACTTGAATAGACAATCTAGAACTGGGAGTAACCTTCCCTTACATATTATAAGAACGATCACTTGAATAGATAATCTAGAACTGTAGTTTGACCAATAGTGTAATATCAACAAAATTATCTTGTCATCTTTGCCTCTTGCAGAAGTATTCCTCCCATTTCCATTAGCCATGAATTTTCAGTGTTAATATAAAAGCTAGTAGTATCAAATATTTAAGTACAGACAGCGATAAGTTGTAAAGTCAAATAACCGATGCCTTGTTATATTGTTTAAGCACTTTTTTCAGTTTCTTACTTGTTGTCTGAATTCATTTTATTATCAGGCAGTACATTTTCTTTACACCCTCCTGTATTTTAGTCTTGTAAGTTACTTGTTACAGTTTTACCATTTTATTACCACAACAGCATTCAACAAAATACAAAAGAGCATACATGTTTAACTGTAGACATGTAACTGAATAATTTATTTTTCAATAGATTTAAAACTTAATTCACTAAAACATTTGCAGGACAAATAAAACAGAAATAATAAACAAGACACTCCTTGTTTCTATCAAACTTACCTAAAATACTAACAGTCAGTGCATTATGAGCATATGCCTCACTGTCATCACTATCACAGTCGGGCCAGTCATAAATAGCTGACAAGTTTGAATGCCGTCCTTGTACATCTTTTACCCATGGATTTTGGGGATCCATATCCCAGAGTGATGCCATGATAGCTTGTGATATTTGCTCCTGAGAAACATCACCATCATTAGAGACATAAAAATATGAAGACATCTGTATCAAGCACATTGTAACAGTAACTTTAATTTTATGGACGTAACCACCAGATACAGGATGAAATACAATCTGGTGATCTGATGGATTTAAAATCTATAGAAAATAGATGGGGAATACACCAACTATCATATTTGTATTAAGTAATTTATTTGGACTATCACCCTGTTTTTTAGTTTTTTAATGCACAAACCTTCTACAGGTGCGAGATTTAGACATAAATTATTAAAGTGCAAATCCTACAATGTCCAAGTTATTGTAAAATTAAAGCATTTTTATAATAAGATAAATGAATGGTGATCATTCTGATCATTCCTATCAAAACTCAAAATGTTCCTCAACTTCTCACATGGATTAAACATTAATTCCCTAATGGTTTTGGTGCCTTCTTTGTAATAGCTACAGTGGAAGGCCATTGTAACACTTGATATAAGGTAATAACCATTCAAGGTCCTCCATATACACTAATGATGGTCTCTAAAACTAATTATGTGTCAAAACACCAGCAAACAACAGCTGATTCTGCTGAGGTAGCAACTATTTGAGGCCATCCACACACATAATGATGATGATTATACAAGTTAATTAGGTGCCAAAAACTTATAAAACAACAGCTAATTTTGCCACTAAAGTGGTAAGGAGATGAAGGCAGTGTTGAGAAAGATAAGAACATATTTAAAACACCTTTTACAACAAAACAGTACAGTCTTATATCACATCACACTATATTTCCTACACTGAATTTTAAATGACAGAACATAAAACAAAACAGATAAAGAATAAAACAAACATATAGATACACACTGTCTAAATAACAGTTATCACAGACTGAAGTGACTCGCATCCTCTGGAAAAAAGACAGAATTCAAACATTTCTTTGGACCACAGAAATTGTACAAATGAAGTCAAGGAACAGCACTAACAGTATTAGGAGACACATAACTGAAGGATTAATAGAAGATAGTGTACCATCATTGTCTACACTACACAGTACAATATGTAAAACTACAGTGCAGAAATGAAGCTGTTCAAAGAAGGCCTATATCAACTGTCTCAAAATTCTGTTCAGAATGCAGAGAAAGTGGAAACAGAAGAAGAGAGCATGGTAAAGATAGAAATAATGCGCATGAAATTAAGACGGTGAAGTCATGTAGCTAACAAATGCTGTAAGAGATATAAGAAAATATAGAAAAAAGTGAACAGATTAGATGATAGTTTATTTTTTTCTGCAGATACAACACTTGCACATGTGAATGTCATGAGAATCCATAAACTTGAGGTAGATGAAATAGAGGAAAGATCATTAATTTTAATTAAGATTATGCAACTCTGGATCTAAGCCTATAATGAGAGTCTTCTCAACAGACGTATAATGGAATATGTTTATTAAAGGTCATTTGTAGAGACAGTGATCAGAAAGAAATTAAGGTTAAAGTATATGTGTAACATTCATTATTTATAAATTTTTGTTATTTGTAATTAACATCAGTCAAGTGTTTTTGTTTAATTCTAACTTTTATGCCATGAGCAGCTTCACTTATATAAAAAAACTTCACAATCAATAAAAGCAGCAGATAAACATTAAGTAAATGGTGCATACTTAATATTGTTGTCATTCATGATGATTAAGATGAATGATTAAAAACTGTACTCTAATGTTCGACATTCTAAAAATACTTAGTAGTTACAAAACTTTATAAGAATCAGTGTTTATGAAGACATTTGTTTTAAAAGAAATTTATAAATCCATTTAAGCAAACAGTTATTTTTCAAGATCAAACTTTCTGAAATTCATTAAAACATGATGACAAACTTTTAAAGAAAGAAAAAAAAGAGTAATGACCATCATGAAAGAAATCAAAATTCTATATTAGCTGTTCTCATGTATGTGAAACATTAAAGATACAATTTAACGCATACATAAAACAGAAATGATGACACGAGTGACTAAAATGTCAATCATCCAGATATAACTAATCCAGAAGAAGAGGGAGGAGTAAATGCATATATATTCACATGCAATTCATTGTTGCAACTAGTTTTTCAACTGCTTGTATCTGTTCTGTTTTGAATAATATACCATGTAATGCAAAAATCTATATTACACTATCGCATATTAATCCTTAATTTTCCATAAATTTTACAAGAAACCTTTTTATATTAAGAATTTGGTTTATTTTACAATATACAAAGTTAATACTTTCCATAATAGCTCAGTAAATTTGATAAGTGTGCATGTCATGACATTTTACAGTTACATTCAAAATTTAATTAAACAATATAAACAAAGTTTACAAAGCAAATTTTTAAATTATCAAAAAATTACAAAAAACTCTCAATCTTCACTTCTCTTTATCACGTGACACGTTTCTGCCCTCAATTCTTCCTTTTAGACTGTATATCTTAAATTCTATAGATTTAACAATGTCTAACCAATTAGAAAAACAAGCTATAAATAATGACTGGCTCAAATACAAAATTTGAACCTTCCACCTTCTTGATTTGCTGAGATATCAGTAATTTTTTCCACCTCACTATAGAAACCAAGTCCATCTTTCCATAACATTCAAGGCAGTTTTCTAAACCACACGTCCTTATTTGATAGCAATGATTATAACCAACAGAATGAGCATTTCTTCTTCTATATCAAGCTTACAACCATTCTTGTGAATTTGGATGCAAAAAGACAGTAGCTGAGATGAAGTGCTTGACCTGTATTTACAAAAGCCATTGTTTATCGCAAAAAGAAAATTCTGTAGACCTATTTATATATTAGTTAGAAATCCAATTAAGTTAAGTTTTGGGAAATTGTATTATAATGACAGATATATATCTTTGTGTTCTAAAATGCATACTGAAAATTAAAATCATTTTGTTTAGGCAATGAACTTAGGATAAAGAAAGTAGGTTTAGTAAGTTACATGTTTGAGTGTCATTCTTCACATAGTTTATGGCACAAAAGTACATCAATGTACAAGAAACTGCTAATTTGGCCCTACTGTGATTTATTGATTTTCACAAATAAATACAGGCCAGTCAATAAAATTATAAAACTGAAAGAATACAGATTTCAAACGGTTAACTGTTCAAACTGTGAAGACAAATGTAATAAAGATGTGGTGACAAATGACCATTCAAAGAAAAGGAAAAATAATATTATTTATTTCAAAATTAAAAATTTTTCATTTCACTGTACATTGAAAATTTTGCTACAGATATAGTGTTTGGGTAGAAAAGAGAGATAAAATATCAAGTTTAAGAAAAAAACTTTTGATAATCACTTTGGAGGTTACAGTAGGAGGAGATAGTAGACTTCCATCCATTAACAACATACAACCTGACATTGTTGATAAGAAGGTCTAAGCACACCAAAACCAGATAAAGTAGAAACTAGTATTATGAGTAGGCTCCCATGGAGGCTGGTGCCACTCCTACCGACATCTGGGAAATACATCCAAGGACCCGGGTAGGAGAGTCCCCAGCTTCGCCCTCTTTTCCATGAGTGGAGTAACTCACTTGAACACTCTGGAGGAAAAGTCTCTGTCCACCACCCCAGTGACTGGAAACTGGATGTGGTAAGGACTCCCTAGCTCCACTAGTAGAATCTGGTGGTGGTGGGGGGTGTGTTTT